AAGGCAACGCAAATGAGGCTTTCTAGCGTAAAATTTGTTATTTTACTTAATTAGTTATTCCATAACTTCAGAAATGTAATAATATAGGCACAGGGAACCTAAGAACATATACACAAGTAGCCACAAATTACTAAGATTCAACCAATCATTAAAAGAAAACCAAAAACACTTTTAGCTAAAGATTACAGCATATACAAGTCCAGGAAATATAGATAAACCATGGATGTGTCGAAATAGAATACAAAGCGATATGAAGAAGGTCTTGGAGCATACCTCTCCAGCAAGCACATTAACGACGTGAGGTGTAAACCCTTGCCCCGCATCACCTGCACCAATAGGTCAGATCTTCAGTAATATTGCACAACCTTATCGCCATGAATACGGAATCATTTTTATCATACATTCATTAGGAGAAAATAAATTCAACCAAAATTTATGGATGATATCTGATATATGGAACATTTGAAGCCAAATTTTCCAACATAGCAAATACATGCAATATATGCTTAAATACCCTGCATGTCACTCATATTGAGCAACTTTACTCTCAAAAATCCCATTTTCATTATCCAAGTAATGACAAGTGAAGGCAGGGGCAGAAAGCTTGTAATCCACATAGGGGTAGCTCCATAATTCCATTTGGGAATTAAAAATAGAGGACATTTCCAAATTCCAAGAAATATCCCATCCATATACCACTTGCATGCATAGAAGCCCATATATATATATATATATATATATGCATATCAATCAATCAAGTGAAAGTGGGCAATATAAATGCTTAAGATTTAGCAATAACTTATAGTTCTACCAGCAAAAATAAAATCAAAATCAAATAAATTATGGCTTTATAAAGGGAAACAAAATGCATAAATGCTTTGACTATAACTTTAGGTTAAGAAGTTGATTAGCCTCGGCATGCGTGAGACTGTGAGAGAATTTACCAATACCAGCAAACTGAGATTTCTTTAAAGAGTATGAAGAGCCGCCGCCTCCTCCTTGTCCTCCGCCGCCACCCAGCGCCGCCTGATCCCTCTTCTTCGGCAGAGAATTAGAAGCGGAAGCAGCGGAAGACATCCGCTTCGCAGCAGCCGCTTGCTCAGGAGTCCCGTACTTCCTAGGCCTCCCGCGCTTCCTCTTAACGGTCTCCATCGGCGACGACACGGCCGATGGCATCGAACCGGGGTACACCATGTGAGAAGCGGCCCCGCCAGCTGCGGCGGCGCTACTATTACCGGCGTTCGGCAAAATTCCATTGGTCGGAACGACGTTGGAGGCCGCTGCAGCCGCTGCCGCCGCGTTGGGGTTAGCGGTGGACGGGTGGACTGTTTGGTGGTGGTAGTAAGAGCTCAGTCCAGTGCTTTCATTCGGCTCCATGGGCGTAGAATTTTTGGATTTGGGAAAAAAAAATTTAATTTTTTTTTTTCGATTTTCAAAAATTATAAATTCTTTTTTGATTTTGCCCTTTTTTATTGCTTTACCGTTCTGCTTTTCTTTTTCGGCGGCTTGGATGCGTCTGTCGTGCCAGGTGGCAACACAACAGCTGTCAGATAGGGTTTCTCCCAATCTTTTCAAGTTTGAAATACTAAATTCAAAGAATCAGATATACTTCTTGAATGCATTTTTATCAATTTATTTATTACTTTCTTTTTCTCTATCAATTCTATTTCATTTCTTGATTCTCTATAAATATTTTACTAATTATTTGTTACTCACCAAAATTCCTTACCTAATTTAAAATTTAAAGATTAATAAACCCTGCTACTATGTTAATCAGATAAGTCATGTATATAACAAGTTACAATATTATCTGACAATTAAATTTACGTGATAACAAATTGAATATGATTGGTGTAATAAATTAAAATCTTTATGAACAACATATAAAGAAATTGTAAATCTTTACGAACATATAAAATATTTACAACACTTATTTAGATAACGACATGCGAATCAATATTGTTAATTGAGTTAATTATTAAAATAGTCCTCTGACTAGCGCAAAATTATCAATTTGGTCCTCAACTATTTTTTTTTATCTAATATAATAAAGTCCTCAACTATGTAAAAGTTAACCAAAATGGTCCTCCATCAGGTCAGCTGTTAAAAAATTGTTTAAGTCAAGGGCAATAGAGGGATTTCACTTTAATTGTTTTTTTTTAAATAAAAGGTTAATTCATTAATCATAAACTGAAATGTTTACAATACATATCGTTAGAATGACAGTGCATTCTTTATAGTCAGACATAGAAACAAATTTCCTAGCAATGTTATAGAAAATTTGGATCGCGGACTGTTTTATAAATTTGAAGCCGAAGTTGTTGGATGAACTCGGTGCTTCTTCACAGATATGGTCAAACATAGTCAAGTCTGACTATGATGTGGCCATTTTATCATTCCACGCTTATAAGGAGAACTCACCAAAGAAACGAGAGGAAAACTAGCCAAAGAAACGAGAGGGAAACACTCGCCAGAGAGACGAGAGAAAACAAACTAGTCAAAGGAACAAAGGGATAACGTAGAACCAAAAGAAAACAAAATAAATGGAAAAGATGATAGAAAACCTGTCAGATCTGGAGAGTCTCTGACGCCTTCTCTGAAAAAACGATCAGAGATAATCTGAGATCTAATGCTTATTCCTAAAACAGCCAGATGATGGAGTCTACAAATGGCACCGCCGGCTCAACCCTCCATTAGAGCGTCAGCCGGCAGCCGAATGATGGAGTCGCAGGAGCAACTGTTATTTTTCTCCTCTTATTTAGCCGATTGAACCCTAGCTTCACGCATCCTTCTTCCATTTGTGAATTCATTCGCTGAATCTCCATTCGAGGACCACGCTTGGACTTCGACAACAATCTTGAAGATATGCAACGTTCGCCGACAGCGAGGAGAGCAATTGTCGTCCCAGTCTGATGCGCTCTCGCTCTCAATGTCGAACCCTAACATTCGAATCAGACATGGTTTGGGGATTTAGAATTAAGAATTAGGATTTTACATTATTACTAAAAAAACTTTAAATTTTCAAGTAAAAATCGTGGGCCGTCCGGGCTGATCGACTAGCGACCTAAAATTTCTTTATTGCCTTTCAATTTAATAGATGTTACACGCTTATTCTGACGGAGGACTATTTTGGTTAACTTTTACATAGTTGAGGACTTCATGATTATGTAAAAAAAAAAATAGTCGAGGACTAAATTGGTAATTTCGCAATAGTCAGAGGACCATTTTGGTAATGAGTTTTTACCCAAAATGGTCCCTCGACTATGCCTCATTCTCAATTTTGCATTTCGACTTTCAATTGCACCCAATGTCGTCCCCTGACTTTTAAAAACTCCCCCAATTTGGTCCTCCGTTAGGTTTTGTGTTAACTCACCGTCAGTTTTGAGGGCATTTTGGTAACTTCACATCCAAATAACAGTTTCAAAGAATTCAGTCAACCAAGTAAGAATTTCAGCCAACCAATGTGATCTCTGTCCTTTCGGATATTCCTCCGAGTTGGTTTTGAGCAACGTTGTGTCGGCGACAGCACCATAAAAGCAGAGATCTGTGGTGGTTGGCAGGGAGCTAGGCCGGCGAAGAAGCCGCTGGATGAAGTCGCCAATGAAGTGGAAGAACTCAACATCGCCGCCGTGGGAGTTGAAGTAAGAGAGAGGGAGAGCAACGCTATGGTCGCTGGAATTAGTGTTTCTGGCCTTCCTTCTCTCCAAAATCCACTATTTTTAGTGTGGCTCTCGAGAAGGTCCAGACGAGTTAGAAAGAAATTCCCGATGTTCGACAAGGTCTGAGTTGCCGGAGCCGGTATTCGACGCGCTTGTGCATTACGCCACGGTTAATAACACGGCGGTGGCTTCTCTCGGCCGCGAAGGTGAGCGTTGTGGCCGTGACGCTCCGCCCGGCTAACACCCTTCCAGGCGTCTCAGCTACAGAGCTTTCCCGTCGTGATCTTTGTCCTTCTAGATAAAGCCTGGTAGCTCCTCACCTGGGAGCTGGACACCACGGCTACCAATCCCCATCGCCTCTGACTTCGAACACCTCTCCAGCCACCACCAAAAGGATGTCCTAGATTTTCACCGCATTGTCCCCGCGTTGCCGGCGGCTCATCCCTCCCATGCAAAGCTGTCGTTCTTGGCTTTTCAAATTACTCTTTTTGCCCAACATGGCATTTCGATTGGGTTCTCGTTGAGCAACATGGCGTCCGATGAGAGGACTTTCGACCAATTATTGAAAACTTGGGCGGCCATTTTCAAGTTGGTATTACAGCTCCACCGGCCGGTCTTGAACAAGAGCTCCTCCAAGGAGTTACGTCGACAACTGCGTCGCGTTCGACCGTGCAACGGCGAGGCAAAACGAGCTGCCCGGAGATAACGGAGTCCTGTTCGCCGCAAAAGAAATAGGGAACACAATCAAGAAACTGGATGAGGATGTTTTGGATGGGGCGGATAATTGGATTGCCGGTGCGACACAGATGACGGAGAGAGAAAGCTAAGCCCAAGAGAGAGAAAAACCTCACAAAACACAATGAAATGACCGAAATGTCCTCAAAATTGACGGTGAGTTAACACAAAACCTAACGGAGGACCAAATTGGGAGAGTTTTTAAAAGTCAGGGGACCACATTGGGTGCAATTGAAAGTCAAAATGCAAAATTGAGAATGAGCCATAGTCAAGGGACCATTTTGAGAAAAAACTCTTTTGGTAATTAACTCCGGTTAATTTTATATAAGGATATGTAATTTAATGTCGTTAATTATATATAATGATATGCAATTCAATATTGTTAGCAGTTCTTGAAAAGTAATATAACCTCACGAAGAATTTAAAAAATAAAAATAAAAAAGTGAAGCCAAATAAAAATTTCATTAATTTTAGATGACAATATGGTATTCAATGACACCATAACAGTGTATACAGTTATATATTACCGGTGCATCAAATATTAGAAAATAATAATTTCTCCATTGAATTGAATTAAGTGGCTTACAACACTCACAAAATGGAATCCAGATTTGTATAATTTTTCTGTATTTATTTGGCAAATACATTCAAAAGATACACAAGCCAATCACCAGGAAAGCAGCATATATATATATATATATATATAGGTCTCAAAGAAATTAATGATTACACTAAAATGTATGTATCACATTACAAGCCCTCATTAGAGTGTGAATACAGAAACCATTTTCCAGGAAGAATTCAAGAGTTCACTATGCAATTGACAACTCTTTAGTAGATGTTTCTATGCTCGAAACGCCTTCGTTAGGATCGTCCGCCTTGGGGTCGTTGGTCTCCTTGGCGAATGCTTTAGCTCTCGAGTTTTTCAGTTCTTCTAACTGCATTAACCGTACAGAAGAGAAGGGAGGGTTAGATACCAAAAACGTCAAGGTTGGAATTTCCGACCACCTGAAAGTGATCTTAAATCAAGTCGAAAGTTTTGTTCCGACCACTTTTGGTATCCGGAAAAACATTTATTGCTATTTCCGACCACTTTTGGCTTTCGAATTGATTTAAGATCACTTTCAGGTGGTCGGAAATTCTATAATTTCCAGTAGTGCGTGCGGGAAGGCTTGAGACAGTTTAGAAAGGGAAATCGTCTTGTCAAACCACGCCTAAAAGTCTCGAGTTACGGGCAGGAGTGCTGGATAGGTATCGCATTTGGACAAAATACAGATGGTTAAAGCCAGAAAAGCATCATTGATTAAGCAGATGTGAAGGGAACTATCAAATAAAAGAGAGAACAGTTAAGAAATTAGGTACTAGGATAGCAACTTGTCTTTGACAGGATTCGAGATTCTCAAATCTTAACCCGATGGAATCCTCGTAAATTTCCTTTACCATCCATGTTGAAGAATGATGGAAGATAAACAATGGAATAAGTTTATACCTCTCTACATTTTTCCTGGTGTGCGGTTAGAAGTTCATTGTACCGAGTTTGCAAATCCGAGAATTCAGCTTGTAGCTTTTCATAATCAGACACTGCCGGGCCGCCCAATTTTTGTTGGACGAATCTGTGAAACAAAACAGGAAGCGGGCATTCAGCATAGACTGGTAAAACTAAAATGATAAAGAGACTAGAGAGCACTTATACATAAGAAAGTAGTTAGTGTTCTAGGCACGTCAAAAATACTATTCCATAATCCATAGTGTTGAGCACATAGCCATTAATGTGCAATCCAACTATTAGTTTAGGCTTTTAGTTGAGATGGAGCACATGCTTCAATTTGGTATCAGAGCCAAACCAAACTGCTTTTAGTTGAGATGTAGTATGAAACTACAAATAGTGATGAATCGAGCAGGGGCTGAACTGTTTTTAGTTGAGATGTAGTATGAAACTACAAATAGTGATGAATCGAGCAGGGGCTGAACTCGGCCGACGCCCAACAAATAGCATTCCAACTTCTAAATGATTTAATCTTTGATTTTAAATGCATCAGAAACTATGATAGAGAACGAACTTCATATTTGAAATGTTGAATTATAAGGCATACTTACTCGATTGCAGAAGAAGGCTTGTCGTTCTGTTCATACAGTGCAACAAGAACTAAAATAAAGTGGGTAGAAGAGACGAAAAATCAGATTGATAACATTTAAAAAATAGAATCGAAGAGAATAAATTGTTCTCTGATGAAATAATAATAGACCTTTTGTCAGACTATCGAGGACTCCACTTGACTCCAGATATTTTCTGAACGCTTCTTTCTTTGCTTCCTTTTCCTGCCAGAGCCACACAATGATGACGAAACCAGAGAGCGGAATATCAACAAGAAAAGAGGCGGCCTTAAAGAACATTGGTTAGAGATATACCAAACAGAATTCATTATTGACTTGTTTTACTCACATTATGAGGGATATGAGAACCATATATTATACACAAATAATTTTTAATGCTCCCAAGCAAACTAATAAGCTTTAAGGAACACCATATTTTGCAGACTTCATATTTATGTTCTCTCAGCATTAACACACTACACAGCCTACACCAATCAACACAAAGTTCATTACACTAAACATTCCCAATTTCCCGCATTAATTAGATAACTAGACAATAAATCCCAAACTTTCTCTTTTAATATTCTCCTTTGAATTTCTTACAAAAAAAATCATCACTCAGAACATCTTTGTTCCGTTAAAAATTTCCAGAATACTGAAGTGCCATGGCCTAAGCACAAAAGTTCATTCCACCTACATTGGACCAGACCCAACTCACACACACAGAGAACCAAGCAAATAACAATAACACTGCAAAGGTTAACATGAACATTCTTTCAAGAGAAAACTCAGATCCTTGCTGCACAGACACGGGTGGCATGGCGCTGAGATTCGAACATGACCTTTGGTCTAGCTCTGATATCAAAATGAAGCATGTGCTCCATCTCAACTAAAAGCCTAAGCTTAGTTTGCACATTAATGGCTATATGCTCAACAGGCTGAGGTCATCCCAGAAAGATCCAAACTTTCCTCAACATTTTCTTGGTTCTCTTTTCCTTTTGCTCCAATAACTTTTGGAATACCCATTTCAGCCCATATAAATTATATATTATCTAAATTATGTATATTGAACTGGAAATTAACTCATTTAACTGCCTAATGCAGCAGAATTTGGCAGTTCATCTAACAATGGGTTCCAAAAAATGAAGCCCCTTATGGAGTTATAGATCTTCAAGCATAATTCAAACAAATTATCAAATATATAAAACATAGCTTACCATTTTCTCCTAGAGTTCAATGCTGAAAATTGTAGTTCAGGCGAGCATGAATGGTGGCAGTTGTGCGCCGGAAGGTGCCGGAGTTGGATTGGGAGGGGAACAGATCGGACTGAATCTTGGATGACTTCCGCTCTCCGGCCTCTGGTTCTCCTTTTGGGAAATTACGCTGAACACCTTGGTGCAATCAACATCTCAGACTTTCGGATGTACCTTTTAAAAAGTTTTTGCACTTGTGTATAGGGTATAAAAGGAATTTTCTCTTTCAAATTTGTAAATTAACTTCCAATTTAATTTTAAACATTTGAATTATGTATATGACCTGTTTAGTAAATGATTGTTAGCTGATTGTGTTAATTAGAATGTATAACTAGTTGATGACATTAGCTGATTATAATAAAATATTTGGTAAATTAACTTTTAACTGTTTGGTATAATTTCTATTCTCAAAAAGCTAATTGAAAAAATTGTTTGGAGTAATTTTTTGAGTTTTAGCATTTTAAAGTTACAAAAAGTTAATTAACCAAACATTTATTTGATATTTTAACTAAATCAAACAATTAATAGTGGTCAAATAAGCCAAAATTAGGGCAAATTATGCTGTGCATCCGTATGCACCATGCATGGTACATACGGATGCCAAAACGACGTCGTTTTAATAAAACGTGCGTCTCCCCTTAAAAAAAAAAATCAGGTTCGATTCCCAGCAACAACATATGAACTATAATTCCATAATCGATGAACTATAATTCCATAATCTAATTTATGAACTAAAAATTCCAGAATGAATGAACTAAAATTCCATAATCTATAAACTAAAATTTCAGAATCGATGAACTACAATTCCATAATAGATGAACTATAATTCTATAATCAATGAACTATAATTCCATAATCTATGAACTAAAATTCCAGAATGAATGAACAATATAATGTTGTTGCTGGGAATCGAACCTGAATTTTTTTTAAAGAGGAGACGCGCGTTTTTTAATAAAACGACGTCATTTTGACATCTGTATGCACCATGGTGCATACAGATGCACAGCATGACGATTGCAAAATTAGCTTATAGGCCAATTTTTTACCGGGGCCAATATCTTTCTAGATTCTTTTTGGAATAAGGTTCAAATTGACCACTGAACGTAACCTGAAAATGCAATTAGGCCACTGAACGAAAAAAAAGTGCAATTAGGCCATTGAACACTCAAAAAAGTGCAATTAGGCCACTGAACTCTCCAAACGTATGCAATTTTACCGGATAGTAGGTTACCATCAATGTTAGCAGGTTACCTGCTTACGTGACAGTTTAGTTAGCATTTTTAATAATTTTTAATAATTAATTTTAATAATAAATTTTATAAAAAAATTGAAAAAAAATTAAATAAAAAATAAAATAAAGTCGTTTTTATTTTTTAAATTTTTTTTAATAAAAAGTTATTATTAAAATTTATTAAAAATTAATTAAAATTTATTAAAAATGCCAACTCAACTGCCACATAAGCAGATAACCTGCTAAAATTGAGGGTAACCTGCTATCAGGTGAAATTGCACATTTTTGGAGTGTTCAGTGGCCTAATTGCACTTTTTTTTTTTCATTCAGTGGCCTAATTGCACTTTCAGGTTACGTTCAGTGGCCAATTTGAACCTTATTCCATTCTTTTTTATGGGTTCGAACTCATTGGGCTGAGAAGCTAAATGACCCAACAGGCCTAGGAAACCGGAGCGATTCGCTTACAACATATTCGATGAGATGCGGAAACACTGAATCCTCATTGTGAGCAAATACACATTCGGACCCCAGGAATTGCAGAAGCTTTTCACTGGAATTTTAGCGGGGGAGATCAACATGGAAAGCAGCAGCAATGGAGACAAGCAAGCGCCCACTGTTTTCCTGGATCGAGCTTCTCGAGCAACCAGAGGGAAACGGTGAATTATCATTCCCCCTTTTTGTTTGTTTGTTTCTTCTCCTGTTCAATGAATACATTAAGAACTGTTTTTTCCTTGTTTCATTTAATTTGTATGTGATCCCTATCGAAACGAAGGATGACCAAATTGCTAGACGAGGAGATAGAAGAGGATGAGACGTTTTGGAATCAAGATGCTCTTAAAGATGTTAGTTCTGCTTCTATTTTTACCCATTAATCAACTTGTATTGCCGCATTACTCTTTCTTCAGTTTTCGTTTTATCTTATACTGTAATTAGAGGTTTTAGACTAGCTGGGTTGTTTGGGCTTCACAGACTCACATTAGCACAATACTAGTGTAATGTGTTGAGGTATAGAGTTCACTAATTAATAAAATTATAAGAATCATATAGAATATCTCTGGAATTTACTTTTTGATAAACATGCTTATTTGTACCAAGAATTATACTATAGAAGTCAAAGGAAAACTACCATCTATTTTGCCCATTTCTTATTATCTCCAATGGTAGAAGGGGATTTTCAGGTTGCAATCATGACTTGTTGCCAATTTTATTCTCAAAGCACTTGCCTTTAGGTCTTCTATAATGCATGTATAAGTAAGCTGTATGCAGGATAATATGAGACATTACCAGGATTGATGAGTACCTGGTTCAGGTCCGTGAGATTGATTTACTCTTTGAATTAAATGACTTTTGCTTTTACATATCTCAGGAGGAGAATGATCAAGAGTATGAAGAAGAAGCAGAAGTTGCCGATGTTTTTGATAGTGATTTTGAAGAAGATGTAAGTTCCATTGGTACTCACGGTTTATTACTTTGGGTTTGTGTTTTAACTTTATGACTAATATCTGCTATATTTGACTTATCTTCAATTTCAATTACCTCTTTTTGTATAGGAACCTGAGGCAGATGAAGAAGGCGAGAATGAACCAGATGACAGGTATTGAATCATTCAAGTCAGAGCAAACTCTTTAATTTTATTCAGGGTGTGTTGAAGATGATAACTTTTTATGCTAGGAAGCAGACAAAAAAGCGATTAATATTTCCGGGAAAACCTCCGGGAAACAAGAAAAAGAAAAAGAAAGTACTTTCTAAGTTAGAGACTGCTTCTGAAGAGAAAAAAACTCCAGAGCAATCCACACCTTCTGAACATCATGATGCACCTGATGATGTTGAAGAGGAGAGAATAATTAGAAAATCAACAAGAACTTCTGTCATTGTAAGACAAGCTGAAAGGGATGCAATACGTGCAGCATTGCAGGCAACTATGAAGGTTAGGTGAAGCGACAATTAGTGTTTTTTTTTTTTTTTTTTTTGTGTGTGTGTGTGTGTGTGTCTCCCCTATTACCCTATATGAAAAAAGGAACTGAAGCTGCAAAATGTAGGATCAGTTTGAGCACAATACTTAAATTCTTTTCATAACTTCTATGAGTCTATCCCTATTTGTTATGCATAATTGGTTAGAACTAATCATTGATGCTTCAGCAGCCAATAAAAAGGAAAAAGGAAGGTGAAGAGAAAAAAATGAGTCAAGAAGAGATGCTTTTGGAGGCAGCTCAGACAGGTTATGATTATGTTTTGAATGTTTCATTCATTAGTTTTCTTGAATCAGGCCTGTTATGAGAATCTTAACTCACTTTTGCAGAGATCATGAACTTGAGGAACTTGGAAAAGGTTTTAGCAAGAGAAGAAGAAGTGAAGAAAAAAGCCATTGTTCATAAAGCAGTCTACAGTGGCCCTCAGATAAGATATCTTTCAAAAGATGGTAAGTTGTGTTCCACAAGATGGTATCTGTAATGTTTCAGTCAGCATTATCTTAATTTGCTGCAGCTGCACCATTCCTAGTGCCTCATATTTGCTAAAATGTTCTTTTAAAATTCAAAATTTGCCTCTGAACTTTGTGTGAACATCATCGTAGGTTGTTCATACCTTGAATTTAGTAATGGTGCATCATTTGAGTCAGAGATATCAACAACATCCACTCCATGTAAGTAATGTGATCCTATGTTGATTTATCATCTTCTTGTTGTGCTAATTGCAGTGTAAAATCACACGATAGCCTAACATTATAATGAACCTGTTTTTGCTGGCAACACCATGAGTATGTAGTCAAAAGCTGTGTAGTACCTATGAATATGTGGAGTCTAAGATGTTGGGTAGGATGTAGGAGAACTTGTTCGATCACAACATGTGCTGAAAAGAAAAAGTTCACCCCATAGTTCATAGTTTTTAACTCTTGTCGTGAACCTGAGGTAGATTTTTTAAATAATGCTGTTAACAAATTCAGCCATGGAAACCAAGCTTATATGTAGTTCAGCATTAGGGTTTACTTTAGTCTTTAGGTTTGTCTTAGAATTCCTTCAGTTAATACCTATATAGTAACTTGAAGCTCTAATAAAGCATTGCTACTTTAGGAAATATCTCTTGCTTTCCCTCCCTTATACTCTGAATATGGCATTGTGCAGGTTGATGGCTTCAGACTGTTCTTCCCTCATCATGTACTTGTTATAGTTTTGACTAATTTTCATCTTTACAGACCCACAGAAGCCGGTGTGTGCAGTTACTGGACTCCCTGCAAAGTACGATCTTTTTCCCAATTCTTGTTTAATTTTCAAATTTATTATATTTTCATGCCTTAGGTGAAATCTCTACATATGTATCACACAAACATGCATGTGTGCAAACCTACTCTCAGACTTGCTCCTCGTGACCCTGATCCAAAACCAAAACTTGCAAAGCCACTATTTCATTTCCTTGCTTAGCATATACTCCACAAACAAATGGCTACACTGTGTGTGTGTGTGTGTTGTTTTTTTTTTTTTTTTTTTTTTTTTTTGGTTCAATGCCAAACAGACAGTTCTTTGTGGTTTGTCCATATAAATTTAACTAGTTACGATCAAACACACACACACACAGATGGGACAACTAAAATCAAATGTGAACTTCAAGAATGGACGGAATATTTTGCTCTTCCTTAGCCTGCCCTTAGTTTTTCTATTTTTTAAAACCCATCTTGTCATTGTATATCACCTAGTAGAAATGCATGTGAAAAACACCAGGCATGCAAAAGACTTGAAGTACTCTTTGTTTATGATCAAGCTGGTCAGCATTTTTTTCAGTATAGTGCTTCGTTTTCATAGTATGAAACTGTTGACTTTGTATTGTTCAGGTATCGTGACCCAAAGACTGGCCTACCTTATGCAACAAAAGAGGCATTCAAGATCATCCGTGAAGGGTACAGATTCATTTGCCTGCATATAATATTTGGTGGATTTAAAACTTCAATAGACTTCTGCATGTTGCTTTTGGAAAAAAAATTGAGCTTAGAAGCTTTGTTGATGAATTAAAAATTGCTTATAGAATATAAGGCCATCCACTTGAATACATACAGGTGACACAGTGTTCATTCTAAGAAAACACACACAGAATATATACAATAATATTGGGGGTATTCTAAAATTCCCATTTTTAACATTTTTGTTCACAGCTACTCATCTATTATGACAGAAAAACAAACCCCCTGTTCAAATGTTCATGTGTATATCAGAAAGTGATGTAATTTTCAGTTCAAATCTATCCACTTTCTCGTCTTCTGAGAAATCATTTATGATATTGCAGGTATTCAATTGAAAAGAACAGCCTTGTTCAGAAAAAGGGCATCATCGATGTTCTATCGAATGCCATATCTGGATCAGGATTTTCTATAAGACGGAAGAGATCAAAACCTCCATACAACAGCAGAGAAATGTCAGATTCCCGGGTTTTTGCCCGGTTTCGCAGGATCCCCATCTATGAAATCCAGGACTCTGAATAGCTCTGCCGTGTAAAAGACTCAAAATTATGAATGTAGATTGCACAAACATGAAAATGAAATGACCAAGTAATGTCTCCGAAACTAGATTCTGGATGTAATCTATACATACTTTTAATTCAAAAAAGCTTACTAATTTATACTAGGTTGTTTCTAGACAAGTGAGTAGACCCACTAGACCCTGAAACTTTATATAAGCAATACCAAAATTATGTTCTTTATGGGCGACAAAAGAAACCCGCAGTTTCTGTGTGACGGGCTCAATTAAAAAGGTGTTAGCAAGAATTAAATTTGTGACTTTTTGGTATAAAAATTATACTTATTTAATCACTCTTTTCGAGGTATTTAAAAGAAAATACAATGCAAGAGCAAAACAATCAAATTATACTACGAAATGTCTAATTTCTTAGAGATTATGCAATTACTCTGTGCTCGATTTTTTTGACACTTATCAAATGTTGTTAATTCTTTCCTAAATTATATCATAATATATAAAATTTTATTAGAATGTTGTTAACGAACCGAACATGAACGAAAGGAGATTGTTCATGTTCGCTTGTTAAGATTTTTAGAGTGTTCGTGTTTGTTTGTTAAGATTTTTGAAAATCTTGTTCGTGTTTTTTTGTTAAGCATTCTTGAGTGATATATATATATATATATATATATATATATATATATATATATATATATATATATATATATGCTTAACTACTTGTAAATATTATTAAACGAACACAAACAAACTTATTCACGAGCTCTTAGCAAATGAGCCTACAACTGTTCAGACTCTGTTTCGCTGTTCGTTTATGAACCAAACTCTAAAATTTGTTTATTTATATTCGTTTACCTTAATAAAAATGAACGTTTATCGAACACAAATATAAATAGTTTAACTAAAGCTCTGTTCGCTAATACCTCTAATGTGAAGTGAATGTTACAACCTAAAATTAGGGGAAAAAACAATTCTTTAATTTAAGAAACGAAGCTTCTAGGGCAAACTTTCCATATTAATCTACCTAGGTAAATTAAATTGGGTGTTGTTTGACTTGTTTCTAGAAGGTACAACTCACTATTTTGACTGGTTACGGCAGCAGAAAATGTAAAGGAGAATGCGTTAATTTTAGTAGTGCATGGTAAGTTCTTTTTTCGACAACTAATAATTCATTGAAGTGAAACAATTCAACCAAAAGTGTTTGCCATAAGCAATGACTATAATACTTCTGCTAAGATATAATAAATAGGTAAATCAAGCAACATATAATCCAGTTGTTATCCAATTAGCATACAAATTTGTGTCTATATCAACAATTTTGATATGACCATTCCACGGTTCCACCTGTGACTTCTACATCTCTATGGTCTTTGCTTTTGATAAAATAGAATATGAAACTTTTTGACCATTAATAAATTTTATGAATATTCTTTGGTCTTTAATTTGCTTTTGATAAGATAGAATATGAAACTTTTTACCATTAATAAATTTTATGAATTTAATGTGAGTTTGTAGGAGTGAAAAATAAATTTTTTTAGGTGTGTTAAACATTTCAAATTAATTTGAATAAATTGAATGTTACAAAGTTACGAGAATATAGTAATACAAACAATGAGACAGATCATTTTTTTTAATGAACATTCATTGTGTTTGGATGCACGAGTTCAGGTTTTTTGAACTCATTTTAGAATTTGATTTGCACTTTTCTTACGCGTTTGAAAGAACCACCATGCAACTACATAATTTAACTTTTTAAACCTACATGCATTTCTAATGTGCGGCAAAAATTACTTCTGCTATCTTCACTTATACAATCACTACTGGAAATTATGAAATTTTCGACCACCTGAAAGTGATATTAAATCAAGTCGAAAGCCTTGTTCCGACCACTTTTGGTATTCGGAAAAACCTTTGTTGCTATTTCCGATAACTTTTTGGTATCAATTTGTTTTAAGATTATTTTCAGGTGGTCGGAAATTTCATAGTGGCTGGAAATTTCATAATTTTCAGTAGTGGGGATCTAATTACACATTTTTTTAATCTAATGACTTAATTGTATTTTTGTGTTCAGTTCGAAAGTCCATTTCAATGTTTTCCTTGAAAATAAGTTGATTATTTAATATTTATAAATTATTGAGTAATGTGGCCTAAATTTTTTACGCCAAATTTTATGATCGACTTGATACTTTTGATTAATTTGTGAAAAAATAAATGATATATGAATATAAAATATTGCGATTAAGGATCTAAACAGAACGTTCTATTTAATTTATTAAGCAACTTAATTGAAAGAGGAGAGATGCATGGATGTAGAGTGAATAGTGATCGAATAATTTTAAATTTAGTAATAATATGTTATTTTAAAAGTGATAAAATATAAAATATTTACTGCTGGAAATTATGGAATTTTCGACCACCTGAAAGTGTATTAAATCAAGTTGAAAGCAAAAAGTGGTCGGAAATAGCAACAAAGGTTTTTTCCGGATACAAAAAGTGGTCGGAACAAGACTTTCGACTTGATTTAAGATCACTTTCAGGTGGTCGAAAATTCATAATTTCCAACAGTATATTCTGTTCTATGTATTCTAGTCCACATACAAGTTTTTGAGATTTCAGGAAAAACATGACATTAATTAGTTTGGAGATTTGGGAAAACTAATAATATTTAATTTAAAAATATAATTAAAAATATGTTTAATTTAATATTCACGTAAGCTTCACGTGGCATGGTAACTTATTGAGGAATGAATCAACATGCTATTTGGTATAATTGAATAAATTTGATTATTTGAGGAATTTAATTACATATTTTTTGAGTTCAATGGTCTGATTGTATTTTTGTACTTAGTTTTTTTTTTTTTTTTTTTTTTTTTTTTTTTTTTTTGAAAACCATAGCATAAAAATTTATTAAACCAAATGTTCAATACAAGATGGAATAGAAAATAACCAACTATTTTTGTACTTAGTTAAATAGCAAATTTCAACATTTTGCCTATTTACAATAATTATTTAATGATTGTGAGAACTGTCAGCAAAATTGATTAACTCAAGCAGCAAATGAAGTGTACACACGTACACATCATATATTTATAATAATAATAATAATAATAATAATAATAATAATAATAATAATAATAATAATAATAATAATAATAATAATATAACTATTATTATATATATTCAATAAAATAATTACTATGCATGTGAACTCAATTTATGAAAAGTACTAAAATTGTTATAAAATTTTAATAATTTTATACGATTTCTTTTAATTTATATATAAAATGGTCCATCAGTCCATGCATGAGCCGGGAGATGCAGTCCCTGCACGGCAAAGTGTCAAGGGAATGGAGTAGACTTTCCAAATTGGAGGCAGTAGTCAAAGCATCATGAAAATCTTTGACTGCTCTAAATTCAAACCATAATTTGATGACCTATTTATTATTTTTTATAGACCCAAAATACTGCGTTGAAACTCTGAAATGGATGACCGAATAGGTGAAGTATGATTTTTGTATTAAAATATCACAAGTTTGATTATTATGAATATTCTCTGTGTTGAATTCATCGCACAAAGTCTTTGTAGTACAATTACCTCTCTTATGTGATTTGCAGGGTTTACCTAATACAGACGTTCGAGTTGTGGCTACGAATTTTGCTCATTATCCCCCCAAAAAAAAAAAAAAAAAAAAAAATCTCTACTCAAAAGAGTTTATTTTACTTTTAACCCTCAATTATAGTGGTATTTTCACTTTGAGAAAATGGCACTTTTAGTCGTAGGGTAAATTTAGTTTAGTAGTTATTCATAGTGTAAATTTAGTCATTCAATTTTATGTAGATTTGGTCTTTTAGGGACCAAATCAATAATTTTATTAAGTGGTATATTGGTAGTGAATTGAATATAGTCCTCAAGATGTCCTTACATGTACTAGGGTAAAGTTCTTTCAGAGGCTGAACCCCAACTAAAAAATAAAATTTTCACAAAATTATACGGAGTAATATTTTGAATATTTAGGATTTAAAGTGAACTAATTTTAGAAGTTGAGAATATAAGTAAAATAAATCAAATTTGAGGATGAAAAGTTAAAAATGTCACTATATATATTTTTTTTAATTTTAAATACTTATGATTCTTTACAAAATAGTATCTGTTTTATACTTTCTCAAACATTTTCAGCTTAAAGAATCTAACTTCTTACCATTGGGGTTTGAACCTTTAACCATCCACTTGGATGGATAATCAGAATGTCATAACACTACATGATAGTTGACAAAATGTCACTATAATTAGTTGACCAAAAATTTAATTTTCTTCTTCCCTTTAGAAAAATAAGATTCAGCTGATTCATATACACGTTGTGTAGAATAACTCTTTACAAATAAAAGGTGACAATTGGATACTCTAGTAGGCTGGACACTCTTTATTAATTTTAAAAAATTATTTATTTATTTATTTATATATTAAAAGACTTCTAATAGACAAATTGTATCATGCACACCGAGCATATTCACCTTACAAGATGAACTATGATACATGTTCATTTTTAGTATATCTCAGTCTAAAAAAAAAACTATACTGTCTACTGAATCATTGAACTAAGTTTGTACGGACAACATTTGAAATATATAAATCACGGTGACTCAATTGTTCAGCAGACATAACCAAATGTCGGTGCGCACAAGAGATCTGCCCACTTTGAGCGTTAATCCCCACACTGCCACTATCGAAAATCAAACTTTAGTCTCTTGACTCTTTTCTTCCAAATATTATCTACTGAACCACTAAACTAAGTCCGTGCAGATAATTATAAGCAATCTAATAATCCTAGGAGTAAGCATTGCTTCTAATATTAGTAGTTTAACTTTCAGCGTGTGTAGTTTGACTATGGTCTAAGACTACATGTAATATAAGTTGTCCATTGTATTTATTTAATGTGCAGTGGTTATGACAGTGCCCAATAACGTACAAATAATCCATCATCAGATTTGTATTTTGAATGGATTATATTTGAATCTAAACATTTAAAAGGTTTTGCTTTGTGTTTCAATCATTTTAATTTATGATATTTGACTGGAATAATCTTGAAGGTTGATATGTTTTTTTTTTTTTTTGAAATTATTTAAATACTCATGGCATAGAATTTAAAAGATCAGAACCTTCTAAATTAAAGAAGAAAATAATTTTTAATTTTCTCACTTGATTTCTAGAAGGCCAGCCTTAATTACTGAGCTCTGATCTGTGTATGATATTTGCCGTAATCATAGATCAGATTTGTTAAGACCAATCAACAAAACATC